CAGACTTTAATGAAGCACATTGATACAGTTCATTTGAAAATAAAAGATCAAAAATGCGGAGAGTGTGGAAAGTCTTTTGGTTATAAAAATGATCTGATGAAGCACATTGATACAGTTCATCTGGAACTCAAAGAACACATGTGTGAGGAATGTGGAAAGTCTTTTGGTCAAAAAAGTAACTTACATAAACACATTGCTGCAGTACATAAAAAAATCAAAAAGCACAATTGCGGAGAGTGTGGCAAGTCTTTTGGAAAAAATCAGACTTTAATGAAGCACATTGATACAGTTCATTTGAAAATAAAAGATCAAAAATGCGGAGAGTGTGGAAAGTCTTTTGGATGTAAGAAAAATCTGATGAGCCACATAGATGCAATTCATTTGAAATTAAGAGAAAATATTTGTAAAGAATGTGAGAAATCTTTTAGTGTTAAAAGGAACCTGAATCGACACATTGCCACAGTTCATGAAAAAATTAAAGATCACAAATGCGAAGAGTGTGGTAAACTTTTTGGACAAAAGGATCAGTTACTATTTCATATGGATGCAGTTCATTTGAAACTTAAAGAACACAAGTGCGGAGAATGTGAAAAGTCTTTTGGTATAAAAAGTGCTTTGAATAGACACATTGCCGCAGTTCATGAAAAAATTAAAGATCACAGATGCTTCGAATGCGACAAGTCTTTCGGACAAAAGGGTCATTTAATGCAGCACATAGATGCAGTTCATTTGAAACTTAAAGAACACAAGTGCGGAGAATGTGAAAAGTCTTTTGGTACAAAAAATGCTTTGAATAGACACATTTCTTCAGTTCATGAAAAAATCAAAGATTACAAATGCGAAGAGTGTGGCAAATTTTTTGCACAAAAAATTCATTTGTTTAGACACATAGATGTTATTCATTTGAAATTAAAGAACACTAATGCAAAGAATGTGGCAAGTCATTTGGACTTAGAAGTGATGTGATTAAGCTCATTGAAGCAATAATAAAACAACACATTTCAATAATAAAACAATACATTTGTAACGATTGTGGAAAAGCTTATAGTTGACATAAGGATTTGAAAAGACACGTAGATGCAGTAAATCGAAAAATCAATAATTACTCACAATGTTTTTCGATTCTCTTGCATTTTGTATATATACCGGAAGTGCCAGTGTTTTGAGAAACGATTAATTCGCGTGAATGATTCATTCGTTTTGATACCTAACATCTTTACCTCTTCCAAATCATTTTTAATAGCTTGAAAATGACGACAAATTCATCCTCGCATTTGGATTCAGCTACTTGAAGAACACAAAAGTATACTATTGTAGTGCGCGAATTACTGATACTTCATATTTTGATTATCAATATTTCCTCTATTGACTTGTATTTTTTTCAAAATATATAATATAAACCATTTTTCAGTGACAGTTGAAATGTTTTGATTCCCAAAAAAGATAAAAATATTGATTTTACTAACAAAAAAGTAGAACTTACATGAGAATAATTATATGATTGTATTTAACTTGTACAATGATTATTTATGAATAATACAATTTTGATTATAATGAAAAAATGCACTTGCATCTATTTGAATTAAAAAAATTGCTGAATTACCAATTTTAATGATTTTAACGTTGAATTTAAATATATTTTTTTAATTTCAGTGGTTTTCGTCGGATATTTTAATTTGCCAGAATTTAATTTTTATTCTTCATTAATTTCATTCAGTTTGAATGATTAAATTGGTTTATTTTCATTCTTTACCACGTTCACTTACACGGGGCCTCTTGACGTTTGTTGCTTTGCATTGCATTAGTAAATATTCAAAAGGGAACGACATCGGTGTGTAGGTCTCCCATTCGGAGTGTCGTATGCATGAATTACTCTCGTTCACATGGTTACTACATGCTATGCACTATATACACCGAATGCTTGTGTTGTTCCAGTCCCGAGTAAAAACATTATACAGTTGTGTCGCGAGCTAATAAATTCGATTTTTCGAGATATGAGCGATGACTATTCTTCGACGATATGGTGAGCGGATCCTTACACCTCTGTTGGTATACCCAGCTCGGAAAATTGATTAAACCTCTTGGAGAGAGGTACTATCTTAAACTTTGTATTAATTTGAATATTTTTGCCGCCTCATCGGGTTGCAATCGAATCAAGTCATAGAGTGACGGACTCGGACTCAACTCCAAACCAAGTTCGATTATCCAAGAAAGTTCATTAAAGTCCTAACTTGTCCATCATGCGTATTGAAATGCGTACATATGCGATTTTTATGCCCAGCCAACGCGATTTTATTTGCTATTGTTGTACGTGAAAATATTATCGTTCTAATCAGCACAAATTAACTTTCGTGATGTTATGAATCGATACATTAGTTTCGGCGCCAACAAAATTTCAACGGTAAAATCTCATATTTAAATATAAACATAAGATTTGAGATGAGAATAGTAGAGAAATAATAGTACCAGTAGATAGATGTTTCAATTTAAAAGTGAAAAGTTGAAAGATTTTTACAATGTCGGCTTTGGAAAAACATAAGCTTAAAAATCAAAATGCTAAAATACGTCACAAATGCGATTATTGCGGTAAGATTCTCCTAACTAAACGAAATTTGAACAATCACGTGGATGGAGTTCATTTGAAACTAAAGAAATTTGTTTGCGACGATTGTGGACAGTCTTTTGTCATGAAAAAACGTTTGAATGATCACGTTATGAATGTCCATCAAAGAATCAAAAATTACTCGTGCGACACGTGTAAAAAAGTTTTTGGTTATGAAAGGAGTTTGGCTAAGCATATTGCAACAGTTCATGAAAAAATCAAAGATCATAAATGCGAAGATTGTAACAAGGTTTTTGGAATAAAGTATAATCTTATGCGACACATCGATGTGGTTCATCTATTAATCAAAGAACATATATGCAAAGAATGTGGAAAGGCTTTTGGTCTTAAACAGGACTTGAATCGACACATTGACGCAGCACATAAAAAAATCAAAGAACACAAATGCGGAGAGTGTGACAAGGTTTTTGGAATAAAGAATAATCTTATGCGACACATCGATGTGGTTCATCTATTAATCAAAGAACATATATGCAAAGAATGTGGAAAGGCTTTTGGTCTTAAACAGGACTTGAATCGACACATTGACGCAGTACATAAAAAAATCAAAGATCACAAATGCGAAGAGTGCGGCAAGTCTTTTGGAAAAAAGCAGACTTTAATGCAGCACATAGATGCAGTTCATCTGGAACTCAAAGAACATATGTGTGAAGAGTGCGGCAGGTCGTTTGGATTTAGAGAGAGTCTGATGAGGCACATAAATGTAGTTCATTTGGAACTTAGAGAACATAAGTGCGGAAAATGTGAAAAGTCTTTTTGTTATAAAAGAGACTTAAATAGACATATGAGTATAGTCCATGAAAAAATCAAAGGTCACAAATGCGAAGAGTGTGGAAAGTCATTCAGTTATAAATGTGAATTGAATAAACACACTGCCACAGTTCATGAAAAAATAAAAGATCATAAATGCGGAGAGTGTGACAAGGCTTTTGGACGAAAGAGTAGTCTTATGCGTCACATCGATGTGGTTCATCTATTAATCAATGAACATAATATATGCAAAGAATGTGGAAAGTCTTATGGGTTTAAACATGCCTTGAATCGACACATTGACGCAGTACATAAAAAAATCAAAGATCATGAATGTAAAGAGTGTGGAAAGTTTTTTAGTGATAAAGGTTATCTGATGAAGCACATTGATACAGTTCATCTGGAACTCAAAGAACACATGTGTGAGGAATGTGGCAAATCTTTTGGAGTAAAAAGTAATCTGATGAAGCACATTGATACAGTTCATCTGGAACTAAAAGAACACAAATGTGAAGAATGCGGCAAGTCGTTTGGACAAAAAAATAATCTAACAAAGCATATAGATACAGTTCATCTGGAACTCAAAAAACACATGTGTAAGGAATGTGGAAAGGTTTTTGGTTATAAACGTGATCTGATAAAACACATTAGTACAGCGCATCTGGAACTTTAAGGACAGAAATGCGGAGAGCGTGACAAGTCTTTTAGACAAAAAATTGATCTGATGAAACATATAGATGCAGTTCATCTAGAACTCAAAGAAGACAAATGTGTGAAGTTATGTGGACAAAAAACTCACTTGATGAACCACGTCGATTCAGTTCGTTTCGGAATCAAAGGATATATCTGTGAAGAATGTGGAAAGTCTTTTGGCTCAAAAAGTAACTTAGATAGACACATATCCACAATTCATAAAAAAGTTAAAGTTCGCAAATGCTTAGAGTGTGGCATGTCTTTTGGACAAAAAAGTAATCTTATGAAGCATATAGATGTGGTTCATTTGAAACTTAAAGAACACACGTGCGAGGAATGTGGGCAATCTTTTGGTGAAAAAAGTAACTTGAATAGACACATTGCCACAGTTCATGAAAAAATTAAAGATCACTAATGCGATGAGTGTAGGAAGTTCTTTTGTCATTAAAGTGATCTGACAAAGCACATAGGTGAAGTTAATTTGAAAATTAAAGAAAACATGTGCGAAACATGCGGAAAAGCTTTCAATCGTCATTGTGATTTGAATAGACTCATTGACACAGTTCATGAAAAAATTAAAGATTACAAATGCTCTGAATGTGAAAAGTCTTTTGCTAAAAAAGGGATCTTGCATCAACACATTACCTTTGTTTATGAAAAAATAAAAGATCACAAATGCAAAGAGTGCGGAAAGTCTTTGTGACAAAAAAGTAATATAATGATTAACATAGACGTAGTTCATTTGGAACTCAATGAACAGAGATGTGAAGAATTTGACAAGTTTTTTAGACAAAAAATTAATACGATAAATTATATAGATGCAGTTCATTTGAAACTCGAAGATGACACGTCCTAGTAATGTGAATAGCTACAGTCGCAATGAAGATTTGAAAAGACACATGAATTCCAAATGACTGATTTAAGTAAAGCATTATGTTTTTCGTTTCTTCCGCAGTATGTACACGTCTGGAATGATACAGTGTTGAAGATCATAGGCGTTGCTGTTTTTTTTAAGAAACAATGAATATCCGTGAATGATCTATTCAGTTCACTGTTTTGCACAGAAAACCGACTCTGCACTTCGGATTCAGCGACTCAAATGTCACCAAAGTATACCATTTCAGTCCGCGAATCCTAGATTTTTTTATTTGGCTTATAAATATTTTCTTAATACGGACTCATATTTTTTTCAAAATAAATGAAATTGACTTTTTTTTAAAAATATCGTAAATATTGAATTTACTGTAGTTGAAATTATATCAAAAAAAAAAATTATGTTATTCTGCCATTATAAAATTGTACAATGATCATATATGAATAATAAAATTTTCATCATAATGAAAATATACATCTCCATTTTTTACATTCATTAATCTGTTCAAATATTTTGCCCTCTGGAAGTTATTTTTTAATCGGATATTACACGATTTGCTGCGATTTAATTAATTATGAATGATCAGATCGGTTCAATTTTATTCTTTACCAGGTTCACACTTACACGGGGCCTCGTGACGTTTGAAGTTTGCATTGCATCAATAAACCTCCTGAAGTGAACGACATCGGTCTGCCAGTCGTCTATTCACACTGTCGAGTGTCGTGTGCATAAATTACCGCTGTGCGCACACATACTGCAGCTTCGTGCGTTGTAGTATAGTCCCCCGCAAGGACAGTTTTGCGTCTAACTGGATTTAGCAAGAGACATGAGCGATGATTATGACTTCGACGATACGCCGAAAGGATCGTTACAGCTCTGTGCGCGGGCGGGCATATGCGTGCGCCTCGAGGGGGGATAATTGATTAATCCTCTCGAGGGCCGCTGAGGCACGTCTTATACTTTATAAATGCAGCACTCCGACCTTAGGTAAGATGCATAAAACAATGAAAAATGCAAAATTCGACCCCCCCCCCCCCCCCCCCCNACCCCCCCCCCCCCTCACCCCCTACGAAGCGCGTCGAACTCGGAACTTTCGTATATATAATAGGCGGAAACAGCAGACTCACACACACATACACCCACAGAGTGCAGCGTTATACATGCTATATACGTACCACAGAGTTGAATAATTGCTATATGTAAGATAATACTTAGACAGTTGTGACGCATTGGGTTTTGGCGCGTTGGCTGCTACCTGCCCGCCGCCGGAAAATCGCGTGCATCAAGTTTGTCAGATGAATAGCGCCGCTAATTGGGCGCCGCGGCGCTTGGGGTTTAATGAGCCTTAGAGAGAGAGAGAGGCCACGGACTGCACTGCAGCAGTCGTATAGGTACACACACACGTACACGTACACAACCATAACTGTTTTGCAAAGTTTTCTCAGGTTCCAGCTCCATCCGTGTATACGTCTGCGTTTGCGCCGCACATATAGGAGTGTAGTATTTATATACGTATATACGTACGTATACGTGGGCGAGAAGTTCGGTCCTCTCTCTGCTCCTCCCGTGTGTCTGCAGTTGCAGCGTAATAACAAAGCTCCACGTATATGAGCAATTCTCTAAATGAAACGCATTTTTGGAGGTAGAATCGCGGCAAATTTTTTTTTCAACCTACGCGGATACGGACCCCCGGGAACTGTTTTTAGGGGTCCTAGGAACATGTAACCACGTAGGAACCATTGAAATTTCAATAGTGCTTATTTTCAGAGCTACTTTTGTGATTTAGGGCCCGAAAAGTCATGTTTTCGCGTAAATACGACAATTCACTCAATTTCTAAGTGGCTGAAAAAGTATCAAAACTCATTTTAAAAAAGTGACTGACTACTCCATTCGATAGGAAATTTTCTCAGCTTTCCGATGGTGGTATCAGATTTTCCGATAAGTAGCACATTCATCGAGAAAATCGCCATCAAGCATGCCAATCTAAATATCTCGAAAAACTCGTTACGGAATAAGTGAATATTTTGGTTATTTGTGGTTTTTTCATATGAAAATTGAATATTTCGGAAAATCTGATATTGCCATCGGAAAGCTGAGGAAATTTCCTATCGAAAGCATATCTTCATTTATTTTTTGAGTTGAATTACAATGTTATACATGGGAATTTCTTTTACGTTGTTCGCTGTTTTCTGTTTTCGAGCTGATTCAGCGCGGTCGCAAGGTTTTCGGCTCGCTGCAATCAAAACTAGCTCGTAATGCCACTGAAAAAATGAATGAAGATATGATTTCGATAGAAAATTTTCTCAGCTTTCTCATGGTGTAGTCAGATTTTTCGATAAATTTCATTTTCACAAGGAAAAATCAAAAGTAAACCTCAAAGATCACTTTTTCCGTACCGAGTTTTTCGAGATATTTAGCTTGGCATGCTTGATGGCGATTTTCTCGATGAATGTGCTACTTATCGGAAAATCTGATACCACCATCGGAAAGCTGAGAAAATTTCCTATCGAATGGAGTAGTCAGTCACTTTTTTAAAATGAGTTTTGATACTTTTTCAGCCACTTAGAAATTGAGTGAATTGTCGTATTTACGCGAAAACATGACTTTTCGGGCCCTAAATCACAAAAGTAGCTCTGAAAATAAGCACTATTGAAATTTCAATGGTTCCTACGTGGTTACATGTTCCTAGGACCCCCAAAAACAGTTCCCGGGGGTCCGTATCCGCGTAGTTTGAAAAAAAAATTTGCCGCGATTCTACCTCCAAAAATGCGTTTCATTTAGAGAATTGCTCATATACGTATGTGTGTGTGTGTGTGTGTGTGTATACGCGCGTGGCCTTTATACGCGGGGAGAATGCGGGCTTGATTTTTCGCGCGCGACTACTACTGCGCAGGGAGCACGTTTAAATTTGCAGAGGATGACAAGGGTGAGTTGTATATCGCAATGAAATGCCTCGACTTTGACTTCGGAGAAAGGTGACATACGTGGGTAAGGTAAGGAGAGACGATCGCCGAAATCTTCTCGGATTCCATTGCGATTCTCTCGACTCTTTGAAATGCTTCCGAAATGTCGTAGGCCGTGAGGTTTACCGGTGTACATATTTGGATTTTTTATTTCTTTGTTCTAGTTCGTGACTTTGAAAATCAACTATTCGTTTAATTGACTACTCGATCTACCTCGCATTACATCGATTCTTAAATTAACGACGTTACAGCCCTCTACATCGAAGCCATGAATTATTAAGAGTAACGCGTGTAGTATGTACGTACGTCCTACAGCGAAAATTACATCATACGCCTATGTTTGAACAATATATATATAATATATATAGGAACTCGTCGAGCAATTTTGCTCGATGTCGAAGTTAAATCGACCTCGCACGCCGCTCACTGCGTTACAACCAATCTCGTTCGCGGGTGTATATCGTAACTCATGATTTAACGATAGTGTGTGCAATGCGTGAATTTTACCCTGACGTTTTTACGAATGAATATTAAAACTCGTACGAATCGTATTGTATTCCGTACATCTAAATTAATTCGGAATTTCGCTTTTCTGACGATCGTCACGCGCAAAATTAGACTTTTTCGCCGTGACAAGTTTTCGAGCTCTCTCTCTCGTATAAATAGCAGGGTACAGTAGATAGAGGGGAGTAATCGGGTTGACTCGAGAGGCACGTTCAAACGTAAGAATTTAACTAGCAGCTAAACTGCGGATGTAAACACGTCGTTAAAATGGCACCCAGCTATCTCTCACTCATACACATATATATACAACACGTACATGCACACACACACACACACACACACACACACACTTTTATACGTTTCAATCATCCTCTCTTACTCTCTCTCTCTCGCCTCCTCTCGTGATGATCATTAATTAAACGCTCGTCTCGTCTCGTCCTGGAGCAGAAACGCGCGGGGGCCCGCGTTAGTATAAAGGATAATTAATATCGAGGAGCGCGCTCGCGCTCGAGCTCTGGCAAGTATGGCACTGGCGTTTTTCGCTGCCCGCGAAAACTTTTTTTCACTCTCATTCGAATTTGATAACAGATATCTTAATTCTGTAAAGTGCTATGGAATCCTGGATAAAAATGCAATCCAACGATGTATATAACATGCC